GTGTATATATATACTGTATATATGCAAATAATGCAAATAGATGTAATGTTTCAGTTGGTAAATACTTTTATTTATTTATTTATTTACTATTATTATTATTATTATTATTTATGCCAGGTATTAAAATGCTTTTCTAGGCACACATGGTGCTGCATATTCAACAGAAATATGAAATCCTGAAACATGTCATGATTTCACAAAGGGAGGGGTTTGGATTAAAGGTTTATCTGCACACTCAACTATAAATGCACTGAAGCTCTCACAAAACCCAATCTTTCAGGATTTTATGTTTGAACAGACAAGCTTGATTTATTCATTCATTAAAAGCAATAATGAAAATAACAGAATTACGGAAAACTGAACTAAAAATAAAACGAAAACAGAAAATATAAATAATAAAATCTAACAAAATATGAATAAAAACCATAATAGTAGTATCTCCATAACACTTGCTTTTGGGGGGGAAATGTACAAATCTAGTCTATATTTTGCAATGCACAGTTTGAATGTGAAAATGAGTTTTGCCTTTTTGTTGATTTTGCGGTCCATTTTACTAGCTGTCGATTTTCTCAAGCGAGTTGGTCGTTTTTATTTATGTATGTGTGTTTGGTTTTATTTTACTTCATGAATAAGCATTGATTTGAGTAAACAGTCAGAAGTCAGTGTATGTTGTGAGCTCAGTGTGAGTTATAGAGCGGGACAGTCACAGCTTCTTGTGTTCGAGCCATGCACGCTGCCTACCTGACCAGGTCTGAAGCTTTTCATATTGCTGATTTTTATACCACATGTCCGAGGAAAGCTCAGTTCCACACGGACCTCTGGTGCTATTTCACCGTCCAGAACTGCCTGCTGGACTTTGGCAGGCCTTTAGTCAAGGTAAATAATAATAATAATAATAATAATAATAACATTTTTATTAAATAGAGATCTGAAATTAATCAAAGCTTTTACATTTAAAAAATACATATTACATATCTGCACAAAATTAATAATTTGACAACATTTCATTTCAATGTAATTTTTGTGTAATTGAGATAATAATTATAGTTTTTATTAACATTTTGAATTAGTTTTTATTTTTATATTTTCCGTTTTCATTTCCGTTTTAGTATTTTTTTAGTTTATAAATATTTTATATAATAATGTTAAATAATATATTTTTATTTTTGCTTTTAATTATGTTAATACATTTAATGAACTTAAAGTACATGAGAAATGTTGCCTTGGCAACTAGATGAAGTTTAAAGTTTTATATGTACTTTATTTTATTTCGGTTAATGATTACTTTATTTAGTTTCAGATAACTGTAATAAGAGCGCTTCACACATCTACCAAAATACACATTAATATTACATTTTTTTGTACGTTTTACTTTTTACATAATTTCTCAATATTTTAGTGAAAAAGTGCATGTTTTAACTTGTTAAATAACTTACATTTTCAAAGATAATTATAAAGATGATTCACATTTTTTACAGTATTTTATTGTAATACTGCATGCATTGTCTTGTTAAATGTAATATACACTGTCATTTTTCCACAGTATTTTGTAAAGTAAATCAAAAGCCAATTAACATGTTTTTACATTATTTTTCCTTTAAAATAATTAATATTTTTTACACTGCATGCATTTGTTGCAAGAATATTTTAATTAAGCAATTGCACCTGTATTTGCTTAATATGCAGTATATAATTTTATTAAAGCGCTTGTATTAATTCTCTTGCACTAGCTGTGAGGCATCTAAAAAAAATCACTTTTACGCTTTTATCCTCCTTTTTATTGTCTTGTTAAATCTAATATACATTGTAGTTTTTCCACACTATTTTGTAAGGTAAACTGAAAACCAATTAACAGGTTTTTACAGTCTTTTTACGTTATATTTCCTTTAAAATAATTAATATTTTTTTACACTGCATGCATTTGTTAATTAAGCAGTACCTGTATTTGTGCATTAAGCGGTTTATAATTGTATTAAAATGCTTGTGTTAATTCTTTTGCACAAAATATTTTATTTCAGCTATAAGGCCTCTAAAAACCACTGATGTTTGATGCTTTTTTCTGTGAGTTTCTCTAGATCTTTTGTCCTTTGGAATGGCTTCCTTTGAGCAAACCCAGTGCTGGCGACTATTTCCACATGCTGTACAACATCACCACACCCTTCCTGCTGCTCAAGGTGAGTTCATTAATGTGAAGCAGGTCACCTATTGGTTCACACCAATGTATAGGCTCCACCCCTTCACTAAGCCCCACCCCTTTGCAAATTGCAGCAAGATGCTTTGCACTTCCAGGATGGATGGCTGTTGTTTTTGGCACTGCTGCTCTCAGTAAGCTTGGACACTTTATCAGTGTCATATTTGTCGATGTGAGGCTCAGACGTTTTATTAAAGCTCACAGAGCAAAACGAGCTCAGAAGGAGGTGATATTTATGACTAGAGTCGGTGAAATGATGCATCACCCCAAACCTGTTGGAAATGAACAACACTGACCTTTACATCTGGCAGATGTTTTCTCTGTGTCTCAAACAACTGCAGTTTGCATGATTGATGACATGCATTGCATGCATCCCGAAATCTGTTCTAAAACTGTTCTCAGCTCTGAAATGCGTCACAGTGTATAAGTCCAATAGCATGCAATATGCAATGCTAAACATTTTAAATTGTATTGTTAATCCAGTCGTGTGTTTAGAATGTTGCGATTTTCGACACGGCTGTTCTTCATCACACTGGAAATGAGAAGTCAGGTCGAGTGCATTGCATTTTCGGTATGTGTTATCTCATGCGACATTCTATTCCAGCTCATAGAGCGAAGCCCGAAGACGTTACCTCGCTCCGCCGTCTACCTGTGCATCATCACGTTTGTGATGGGTGCCAGCATTCACCTGGTTGGAGAGTCCATCAACCACCGGCTTCTGCTCAGCGGATACCAGCTGCACATGAGCGTCAGAGAAAACCCCATCATGAAGAACCTCAGACCAGAAACTCTGGTGAAACTGAGTCTCTCGAATGGCAACATCAGCTTAGACTCTTTGTTTATGCAACAGTTTTCAACCTGGTTTGGTAACTGTTTAGCATAAGTCTTACATTTAGGGATTAAACATGACTTAAAAACTATAGCAACCGCATAGAAACGCCCTGGCAACCACCCTAGCATTACAGTGTTATTTTAGTATCATTTACATATCAGAGTATAGTAGTAGCCTATTTATTAATTTTACAGTATTTAATGATATTTTGAATTCACTTTTTATTTTAAGTTTTCTTTTTAATTTTAGTTTAAGATTTAGTAATTAAATTTTGTTAAATGATTGATATTTTTATTTATTTTTTTATTATATATATTTTTTTGTTTTGTTTTTATACAGTATTTATACATATGTTTTGCTTATTTTTTTATTCATTTTAGTACTTTAACTTTCAAATTTCAAATAGTTGCCAATGCATTTTTTTTTTTTTTTCATTTTTGTGTAAGTTTCTTAAATTTAAGTTTTTGATCTAATGTTTACATTTTACTTTATCCCAGCTTAATATCAGTCAGGGTTATTATAGTTAATTAAAACTAAAACAATAAAAAAAAAACATTTCTATTAGGTCTAAATTAGGTCTAAATGATACTGAAATAAAATATTTTTTTACATTTTTTTTAAATATATATTTCTCATTTTCATTTGGTTTCACTAAAGTAACCAGGAATACCTATATAGACATATTTAAAAAAAAAAAAAAAAAAAAAACAAATAAAAAAAAAAAATAATTTTTAAAAATTAAAACCTAAAAAGAACATTTGTGGAACAGTTCCTGAAGAATCAGAAACTAAAACTGAAAAAAAAAAAAGTAAAAGAAAAAAAAAAAAAAAAAAAAAACGAATACAAATAAAAAACACACAAATTGCTAAAACTTTAAGTTAAATTAAAATTTAAATATAAAAATAAAAGCATTCAAAATATTAATACAAATTACAATAGTATCTCAATAATGCTAAAATAACACTGACTTCAATTAGCAAAAGTGATTTTAATCATTTTAGTTGTAATTGTGACGTCTTAGTTTTGTGGTGGGCAAACAATATTCAAATAGTCTGAATGAATAAATCTAGTTCCTCTGTGTTTTCTGACAGATCGACTCGTTTGAGTTGCTGCAGTATTATGATGAAAGTCTGGCTCACTGTATGTGGTAAGCTGTGAAATATTCTGCACACATTCAGTTCTTTTATTTCACTTCCTTCACACGAATTAACCCAATTAATGTGAAAATCATGCTTGTCACAAGAGAAGTGTGCGGTTTTTGAATTAATACTCATGTACAAAATATTTTCTTTCAGCATAAGGTGTCTAAAAGTCACTTTTGCACATATATTTTGTAATTTTTTACAGGTATGCTCCTCTGTTCCTCATCCTGTTCCTGTATTTTACTGGCTGCTTCACTGTTGTCAAAGCACAGAAGACGATGCCCATCTCCGCTTGGCTTCTCCTGGGTCCTAGTGGCCTTTACTACTGGTCAGTTTCTCCTGTTACACTAGTGTTTGACCCGCTTACCGGGAACCAGATGGTCTTCATTATTCACCTCAACAAAACTCAACTCTCCACCCCAGATCAGAATTATTTATAAACTCAGCCCTTAAAGAAAGAACAGCGGCTGTGTTGTGTGTTGTGAGGAAACACCCGTGAGCTCCAGTGTCACACGCTAACTCTGTTTCCAGGCCGTGTTTACATTAGTGTGCCATCTGACACTTTCCATTCATTTCCTTTCGTTATCTGTTCGACTGATGATTAATTAAGGCACGCCTCCAGGAGCTCGACTGTTTTCGGAGATAAGCGTAAAGCTGTATCTGTCTTTTATCAATCTGATAAAACTAAAGACTCTTCAGAGACATGAAGGATGCAGTACTGCTCTATAGATTAACATGAGATTGGCAGAAACTGTGTTTGTCCCCTTTAAGTTAGAATGTTTACATTTTCGATACTTGTTTCAGAACATTCGGAGAACATTCAAAAGTAACATTTCCGTAATGTTTGCTTAATGTTTGCACACCCCAGGAAAAAACTTTTTTAAAGGGTAAGAGCATAATAGGACCCCTTTAAACCATTTAAAAACTGGACATTTTGAACATTCAGAAATAAAATTTCCATAACTTATTGTGAACGCGAAAAATACATTTTCACCGTATTTTTAGGAATAAAATGTTATATAAAATCAGGCAAATGTTTGAACAAACCCCTCAGTAAAAACCTTCAGAATATAGACAGGAATAAAACTATACATTTTGGTGTCTGTAAGTGCTGCTGAATTGAACAAATTTTGAAAAAACATCCTTTAAAGATATTCAGTATGTTGTAAGTGAAATCTAAATAGATAAAAGTGCATTGAAATAAACACTTAATAGTATATTTTTGGAAGATATTTTCCCCACTAGTCTGAAACAACACATCATGAAAACCCAAATAGCCCAAAATCTCAACTTTGACTAGTGCATAAAAAAACATTTTTGCCATTAAACTACCGTAAATATATCAAAACTTAATTTTTGATTAGTAATATGCATTGCTAAGAAATAGTTGTATCTCGGCCACATATTGTCTGATCCTAACAAACCATACATCAATGGAAAGCGTATTTATCCAGT